AATGAAACTGGAATTACTGGTATACTTGTATTTTTAAAACACCGTGACGTTATGCAATCATGATTGATAATTGACAGTCAAACGAAGCCAAAATATTAACTGGTTTGAGCCGCTTCGCCAAACCCAACCACGTGATTCGTATTACCATGGTTACTGCACAACAAATAGACAATTGGCATAACCACAAAACTAGGTTTCAATGTTTTGCAGATTTTTCTCAAATGCGGCAAACGCGCATTTGTACATCACTGCTGCCCTCTACTAAATGACACGTGAACTTATTTTCACATCTATTAAGTAATAGCGGAACTAATTTCTCACTAGCAAAATGCCAACTTATAACGGTGACATCAACAAAATCCCAAGTTTGCAGTTTTTAATTGTAATTTTATCTTTAGGTACAGTTAATTTAAAAATTACGGCAGTATGGATAACGAACATTCGCTTAAAATAAAGGTTTTTGGATAGTTAATCATTTAAAGTAGTTATTTTGTACCTAAGTTCAAAAATTATTACACAATACCAATTTTTAGGCACGTTACCACGTAAGTTATGACATGGATTCATTTAGGTACAGTTATAAAAAAATTACTGCTTTCTTTGGAAATTTTAACTAGATATCATTAAAATAGAAAGGTTACAGTTTACGTACATAGTCATAAGTTGAAGATTGGTTTTGAAATAGTGACGATAACTGTACCTAAAAAGTATACAAATTTTAACATTGTGAAATACCACCTTAATATAATATAAATTAAAAATACAGGAGATATGTAAGAGGGGGGATATTCATCCAACAAGAAGCGAAAGCTTTGTCGCTACCTTTGATCAAAGAATATTCGTAGGCGCTCAATATTCTTTGCTTTGATGTTCGTAGGACAGAAATTTCGGAGTGACAGTGACAGTTAAACTACTTAGTACACTAAGAAAAGTAATGAGGATAAGTTCAAAACTGTAGCGTAGTAAAATTATAGTTACACTCATGATACTATGAATAAAGGCAGCTTTACATCTAGGCTATGCAAGTCTCATGCTATGCAAGTCCGTCTTGCATGGCACATCTCTTGCCTAGCTTGACCTTTTTACATCAGAGATATTTCTGTGCAATTTTAGATCCCACTTTCATTGTTGCCAACAGAGAAAATATTTATCAATTTGAGGTTATTTTATTTTAAATAAAAAATATAATTAAGTACTAAAATAAATAATATAATAAATAAATATACACTATTTATGGTTATTAAAAGGGTGAAGGATGTCAACCAAAGAAAAGAAAACATTGTTATTGTTGAATATTGCTGTTGTAGCAACAATCATCCATAGTCAACGACTCACCCAGTCGTTTTTACATTAACTTTAGACATAGTATATCTATTTATCACCACTTAATAAACTTAATTTAAATCAAAACACAGCAATACACATGTGGGTTAAAGATAGAGATAAGGTTATGTTTTATTCTGTAATCTATTATAAATTGTTATGTTGGCAACATGAATTTTAACGATAAATTGCAAGAAAATTGCATGAAAAATAGAACATGTTCTAATTTTTCGTCTAGCACAGGAATTGCATGGAAATAGCCCGTGGGCATGCGCAGTTCCATGATCTGTCTTGCATGGCTCTTGCCTAGCATGAAAATAGCATAATGTAAAACTGTCTTAAAGACAGTTTTACATTATGCTATTTTCATGCTAGGCAAGAGCCATGCAAGACAGATCATGGAACTGCGCATGCCCACGGGCTATTTAATATTTATAAAAATTAGAACATGTTCTATTTTTCATGCTATTTTCTTGCAATTTATCGTTACAATTCATGTTGCCAACATAACAATATATAATAGATTACAGAATAAAACATAACCTTATCTCTATCTTTAACGTCCCTTAGCCCACGTGTGTATTGTTGTGTTTTGATTTAAATTAAGTTTATTAAATGTTCTTCATAAAATCGCTTTATAATGCATTTATACCTACAAAGTAAATGAAACATATTATTGTGTATTTCTTTAAGTTAAGGTGGTATTTCACAATGTTAAAATTTGTATACTTTTTAGGTACAGTTATCGTCACTATTTCAAAACCAATCTTCAACTTATGACTATGTACGTAAACTGTAACCTTTCTATTTTAATGATATCTAGTTAAAATTTCCAAAGAAAGCAGTAATTTTTTTATAACTGTACCTAAATGAATCCATGTCATAACTTACGTGGTAACGTGCCTAAAAATTGGTATTGTGTAATAATTTTTGAACTTAGGTACAAAATAACTACTTTAAATGATTAACTATCCAAAAACCTTTATTTTAAGCGAATGTTCGTTATCCATACTGCCGTAATTTTTAAATTAACTGTACCTAAAGATAAAATTACAATTAAAAACTGCAAACTTGGGATTTTGTTGATGTCACCGTTATAAGTTGGCATTTTGCTAGTGAGAAATTAGTTCCGCTATTACTTAATAGATGTGAAAATAAGTTCACGTGTCATTTAGTAGAGGGCAGCAGTGATGTACAAATGCGCGTTTGCCGCATTTGAGAAAAATCTGCAAAACATTGAAACCTAGTTTTGTGGTTATGCCAATTGTCTATTTGTTGTGCAGTAACCATGGTAATACGAATCACGTGGTTGGGTTTGGCGAAGCGGCTCAAACCAGTTAATATTTTGGCTTCGTTTGACTGTCAATTATCAATCATGATTGCATAACGTCACGGTGTTTTAAAAATACAAGTATACCAGTAATTCCAGTTTCATTCACGTTTTGGCAAATTTAATTTTTATAGACAAAACAATATAATGTAATCATTGATTAAATTTTGTCGATTAATTATTTCCTTAAATGAAAAAGATTATTGAAATTTACTTGAGTCATAATTAGAAATCAGATGAAAATCTGAAATTTTCTAAGTAAAAACCTTCTTCGATATGAAAAAAAGTAAACGTATTTTAGATTTTCAAACAATTGCAAATTTCTTTTATCAGTTTGGAATAAATATTTTTGGGTAGATAAAGAATTCCGAATTGTCGTAAATATTTCCAAATGAATGAACGTTTTGTGTATATGTATTAGCAAAAAAAATGTCAAGTAATTAATATGTTTACTAAAAATCCCTAATCAGCACATCCGCTAAGTGCTGGTGTAAGATAATTAAATTTTACGACCTTTCCGTCTGAGAATGGAATGATGAGTATCATATTAATAATATGTATTAGAATTGCATTGCATACATATATTTTTACAACCAGAGCAAGCTGTATTATAAATCCACACTTGTGTAATTTAATACAAAAGTAAATTTTTTTGTACTTAAAATTTAATTTTGTATTATTTCGCGAAAGACAACTGCGGGATATGACAGGACTTATATACGGGAAGTTAGTTATTTTCGCCTATTTTAGTGCAAACTTTTTTCCGGCGGATAGTTTTGTTCTTGCCGTGAGGGTCGGCGAAAGTTACCGTCGGAAAATGAAATCAGATAGAAAACGCAGAGCGGTACTTCGGATAGTGCATTTACGAAAATTGCTAATGTTTTGGACAGTTTGTTAGCTTTACTTGTAAGTCTTACAAGTAAACTACTATGAGCTTTGTGAAGTGAAAAGTGCGATACTTAAAAGTATATTCGAAGAAGCTTCCGACGAATAGTGAGATAGAGGCAACTGATAAATACAGTGCAAGGTACTTTGAGTCATCAAGTGTAAAAGGTAAGCGCAAATTTAAATTACCTCCAATCGAGTTAAAAAATTATTTAGAGTTTGTAGCCTAGGTTCTTTTACTTGAGACCTTAGACAAAACTTGCTGACAAATTTGCAGTGATATTGTATCCTCTTATTGAGTCACGTTTGCCAGAACATATGATTCGACTATTACATCTTGTTTCCGTGTCCATGGAAAATATCAGAGAAACTGCAGAAGTTATAACTTTAGAAACAAGATTGAGCGAGCTAATGAGCTTTTTACAGAGGGAATTTCAAAACAAAGAAGCAATTGGTTTAGTGACGGAAAGTTTTGGTTTACCGACTAAAAATAAATATAAATTCAATAGCCTTGTTGCCAAGAAAAATGTAAAATTATCTATGCAGGGAACTGATCGACCGCTGCTGGGTTAATGGATTATGAGGTTTACGGAAAGTAACTGCAGGACGTTCCACACGTAACAATAAATACATTTTTTAGTGTTCTACATCTATTTTCAATACTTGGAAATGTTAAAACAAAACAGCATATCAGAAATTTAATTTTTTTTTACTAAAGACACAGAAGTGTACTTACATTAAAATCTGGTCAGTAAGACCAATTATCAATTTGTTTTTAACTATTTGTTAAATTGTCTTGAAAAAGACAATGCCGGTAGGTTTATTTACTATCGTAGAAATAAAACACACTTTTTCTAAGAAGAAAAAAACTCAGCTTCAGAGTCTTAGAAAATTGCAGAGTCCTTCAAGTGAGGAGCTCTAGGGCTACCCGCTAAGGGTAAAACTGTACTGACTAGAGATCCGAAAATGTCCCATATTTAAAGACAAATTAACTTTTATATGAAACCTTTTCGTTTCTTAACCAATAAAATTTAATTATAAATTCCAAAAGGAAGGGCGATGCACATCGAGGTGCGTGATTGGTGGCACCTGATGACATCCCCCCTGCTTTGGAGACTCTGAGGCTGATAAAAAAAGCTGATTTCATTAAAAAACTTCAAAACAATTTTTACAATTCAAAATATAGAACGAAAAAAAATGCATAAAGATAAATTAAAAATGGATATGTCCATATTGTCAAATTTACCACACACTACACTCGCGTAGCACTTGCACTGCACAAAACACTCACAGGCGGTGGTCGGTGTTGTGACAGACTTTTCTTTTCTCTAATGATCTTTCAATTGTAGCAGTTATTCTATGCACCTGGTCAATTGTCGAATGCGTTTTTCTAAGTCCAAATTGATGATCTGGAATTATTTTCGTTTCTTCAATTATTGGTAGGATTCTTCGCAGGAGGAGTTTTTCAAATAGAAATTTAATGATTTTTATTAAGACATTTTAAGACATGGAAGGAATATCTAATGCACCTTTAAAAAAATCAATGAAATTAAATTTGTACTTTATTACTGTATTTTCACAAACCTAACAATCCTGTTAACTGTGCATATGTACCACCTGTTGATAATGTGCCCCAAACAGCTCCATAATTAATAGTTGACTGCTCACAAGGGTTTTCTGTTGACTTTTCAGTCTTATAGCCACACATGTTGCATAGTAGTTGTTCGATCCTAATTTTATGTTTAACCTTGAGTGGACCGTTTTTAGTTTAAAAACTCGTTTTTTATTTCACGCGGTAAAAAAGAGTAGGTTTGCACTGAAAACAGGTGAGTTACCATAGCGACATAAAACTAGCAACATCAGTCAGAAAAAATATATACATTGTCACATTTTTACGAAGTTTTACGTTTCGCTTAGCGTTGTTGGGTGCTGATACAAATAAATGCAGTTTCTCAAATAAATAAACTTCAAATAGTCATTTTAATGTGAATTTCCTACAGCCGATCCAATCGACAACAAAGATAGGACATCACAAAAAGTGCTCAAACGCCCGTTGGCTTTTTACAGTCCTCCAACAAAAAGGGCGAGAGCAAACATTGGTCTTCGAGCCAGATTGGTCTACTTCGTCTGGATTTTAGCACCCAAAGAAAACATCGCTTCGTCTGAATTTGGTACCTACAGCTTGCAGCATCGAGAAATAAAGGTTAGAATATTTATTCACATACTTTAATCTTGCTTTGAGAGTACATAATTTATTGGCATATGGTTTGGTTTTAATTAATATTCTATTCACTTTATAAGATAATACATATACTATAAGCAGCCTCCCATAGCAGCACCAATCGAAAGAAATGTCGTTTATTTATAATATAATTAACGCATTTTTAAATTAAATTTATTTATAATAAAGACATTCCAAGCATTATCAACATTCGGCCCAACATAGCCATACCACAATCGTTACACCTAACTCATACCTTCATTTGCAACCTCTTATTTTTTATTGCTTACTTATTTACCTATGCTTACTGCATTTAATTGATCAATGTATTTATCATATTAATTAGTATATTCCAAAATACATTAACCTTATAACCGTCTCTTAAACCTATTAGCTTAAATAAATTCATAAAAATGGCTAATGCTAAAAGCCTTAAACACCTTGTAGCTCGTCGTGGCACTATTAAAGCGACAATGACTCGTTTTAACAATTTCCTTGAAAAATGTGGAACTCCTTTGTCTGGCACAGTCAGTCTTGAATTGCAAACGCGTCTGGATGCTTTAAAAATGTCAGTTGTTGAGTTTGAAAAAGTACAGTGTGACATTGAACGTATTTGTCTGTTTGATACAACCCCTAACCTCGGTAATCAAGATGATGAACGAGAAGAGTTCGAAAGCAAATATTATGCCTCAGTAGCTAAAGCGACATTACTTCTCAAACAAGCAGCAGGAATGTCAACGGATCAGCCACCCAGGTCATCTTCGCCAGTGCTCAACTCTCATCGTCTTAATTCATATTTACCACCTATTCCATTACCCCTATATTCTGGATCCTACGAAACGTGGACAAATTTCAAAGAAACCTTTGAGTCACTTATTGACAACAATCCTACTATTCATAAGATCGAAAAATTTTATTATCTTAAATCCAGTTTAAAGGGAGAAGCCGCTCAGATTATTGGAGCACTATCCGCAACCGAAGCAAATTATGAAACGGCCTGGCATCTACTGTGCGACCGTTATGAAAACAAAAGAGCGATTATTCATGCTCACGTTAAATCCATCTTCGAGCTAAGTCCTACTAAAGAAGAGTCGTCTCATTCGCTGAGGAAACTTTTAGACACCTTCGTCAACCATTTTAAATCTTTAGAAAACTTAGGGGAACACGTCTTCGAGTGGAGTACGATTCTAATATATCTCTTAACATCTAAAATTGACATCAATTCTCGAAAGGAATGGGAAAGGGTATCAACAGGAAATGAATCACCCGATGTGCAACATTTCCTAAAATTTTTGTCGGAAAGATGTAAATTTTTAGAATCAGTGGAAACAAAATTCCACCAAAAGATATCTCATAAAAGAGATGAGCCTAACATCAAGGCATCTTACAAATCTTCAACCCTTACCACCTTAACTCAAGCGCCATCAAGGTGCAGTCTATGCTCAGACAACCATTTTATCTACTCTTGCTCTAAGTTTCGTACCATGCCGATACCAGACCGATTTGCTAAAGTAAAGGAACTTCATCTGTGCACAAATTGCTTAAGAGCCGGACATAAAACTTTAGAATGTAAATCTAGCTACTCCTGTAAGACATGTCAAAATAAACACCACACTCTTTTACATAGAACTCAATCTGAGTCGCAAAATCATCATTTAAAAACAATGTATCTACCACATCTAATTCTCAGCAATCTCATCAAAATAATCCTAGCACTTCTAGAGAACCACAGGCATCCTGTAACTTATATTCATTTAACCAAAATCCCAATTCATTCATACTGTTAGCTACGGCTGTAGTAAAAACATTTGACAAAAATCGACAACCCCTACAGGCCAGAGCCATCCTAGACAGTGGAAGCCAATCAAATTTTATTACTCAAGAACTATTTGAGAAACTAAATCTTCCATATGAACATGTTAACCTACCTATAACGGGTATAAATCGCGTTACAACGTCACTTACCAAGCGTGTAAAATTAGAAGTAAAATCTCTAAACGGAGACTTCACTTTCAAAATGCCTGCTCTCGTAATTAATCAAATAACCGACCTAACACCTCAGCATTCAATCAATCCTTCTTATATTAACATACCCAACAATATCACATTAGCTGACCCACAGTTCTATGATCCTTCTGAAGTACACCTACTCATCGGTGCAGGAGTATTCTTTAACCTCATGGGTTCTGGACAAATAAAAGGTAATAAAGGTCAACCATTTTTACAACAAACTAAATTGGGTTGGGTAATTAGTGGCCCAATTCCTGCACAATCTTATTGCTACCATTCTAATCCCAGTTCTTGCTTTCTTTTATCGGCTGATCCTCTTCAGGACAGTATCGAAAAATTCTGGAAAATTGAAGAGAACTATATCACGATCCCTTCTAAATACACTAAGGAAGAAGAAGAATGTGAACTCCATTTTCAATCTACCACAATTCGGGACGACACTGGACGTTTTCAAGTGAGTCTTCCTCTTAAACCTCAAATTTCACAACTGGGCGATTCTTACGACATAGCTCTTAAACGATTCCTATCAATAGAAAGAAAGCTACAGAAAAATCCCATTCTAAAACAAGCCTATGTCGAATTTATGTCACAGTACATCGAACTTGGACACATGTCTAAAATTTCGGGTCTAGAACCTGATCTTTCTCCTTCCTATTATTTGCCTCATCATGCTGTCGAAAAGAATGATAGTCTTACCACTAAAACTCGTATCGTTTTTGATGCCTCGTGTCCCACTTCTACCGGCATATCACTAAATCATACACTCAAGGTGGGCCCTGTTGTTCAAAGCGATCTCTTTTCCATATTGCTACGATTCAGACAGCACAACTTCGTATTTACCGGTGACATTGCCAAAATGTATCGCCAAGTGTTGGTAGACCCAACACAGCGTAATCTTCAACGCGTGATATGGCGAAATGATCCTTCCCAGGAAATTAACATTTATCAGTTAAACACCGTGACATACGGCTTGGCAAGTTCATCATATTTAGCCACTAGATGCTTAAAGGAAATTTCTATACATTCTTCTGCTACATTTCCTGAAGAAAGTCGTAAGCTCAACCTAGATACGTATGTCGATGATGTGGTGACCGGTGCTTCAACTGAACAAGGCTTGATTGCTCTTCGTCGAAACTTAACATCAATATTAAGTTCCTATGGCTTCAATCTAAGGCAATTTTCATCAAACAGTATGGCCCTACTATCAGATATAAATGTAGATGATCACAAAGAAGAATATATAATAACCGATTCACCAAACAGTAAAACTCTTGGCATATCTTGGAATTCCTCAACAGATTCATTTATCTACAGCACAAAGATAAAACCGAACCCCTACAGTATTACAAAAAGGACAATTCTATCAACCACAGCTTCTATTTTCGATCCTCTAGGCTGCCTTGGGCCAATGCTCGTCCAAGCAAAGGTTCTAATGCAAAAATTATGGATTCAACGACTTGACTGGGATGATCCTATTCCTGTGGAACTCTATAAAATTTGGAAATCATTTATAGATAACCTTACTCTCGTTAATTGCTTTAATATACCTCGTCAAATCACTACGATAGATCCCATTTACATTGAGCTACATGGCTTTTCCGATAGTTCGATAAATGCATATGGAGCTTGCATATATGTACGATCTGTTGATACACACGGTCGCATAGTTAGCAATTTACTGTGCGCCAAATCACGTGTCGCTCCATTAAAGGCTATTTCACTACCTAGACTAGAATTGTGTGGAGCCCTTACTCTTGCTCGTCTAACTAAAAACGTAATTGAATCGTTAGAACTTAATTTCTCAAAAATTTATTTCTATACCGACTCCACAATTGTTCTATGCTGGTTGGGTCTTGAATCTCGCACTTTGAAAACATTTGTATGCAATCGTGTATCCGAAATCCAGCAATTAACAAAGGTAGATGAGTGGCATCATATACCTTCCAATATAAATCCTGCTGACATAATATCTAGAGGAGCTAGTCCGTCCGAATTGCATGAATGTGATCTATGGTGGCATGGACCTTCATTTTTGTTGCAATCTCAGGATACTTGGCCCTCTAACAATCACATATCTAACTTCACAGCGCATACTGCTGATCCAGATTTAATGGAAATTAATCCAAAATCCATTGTTTTATCTACTCAAGTATCTCATTCAACCTTAATATCCTCACTTGTCAATAGATATTCTAGTTATATCAAACTTCGGAACGTCCTGGCTTATTGTTTTCGATTCATTCACAATGCTAAAGCTTCAAGGGAATTCCGGATAACTGGAAATCTCACATCAACGGAGGTTGATCAAAGCACACATCATATTATCAGGGAAGTCCAGAGAGAAAGCTTTTTTGAGGACATTCATCAATTAAAGGCTCGTGGTCGAGTCAAACCTTCCAGTAAATTAAGCTCACTGAACGTGTTCCTTGACGACTTAAACCTAATCAGAGTGGGAGGCCGTTTAAGACACGCTTCTATCCAATTCTCAGCAAAACATCCAGTTTTACTTCCACATAAGCATCCTCTGACAGAATTAATTATCCTTTATGAGCATAAGCGAAACCTCCATCCTGGAGCCCAGGCGACGCTATCTTTCGTCAGACAATCCTTTTGGCCATTAAACGGCAGAAATGCGGTCAGACATGTACTTAGTAAATGTATTCCATGTTTTAGAAGCAATCCTCAAACCATGAACAATTTAATGGGGGATTTACCTGCCTCTCGAGTAAATATGTCTCATCCCTTTGCGCGCTCTGGCGTCGACTACGCTGGACCATTCAAACTTAAGGAATCTAAATTTCGAAATCGTCGATTTACTAAGGCATATATTTGCGTATTCGTTTGCTTGACTACTAAAGCGATTCACATCGAATTAGCTAGCGAATTAACTTCAGAATGCTTCTTAAGCATCTTAAGACGTTTTGTTGCGAGACGAGGTCTATGCACTGAGTTGTACTCAGATAATGGTACAAATTTCACTGGAGCTAACAACGAGCTGCAAGGTATTTACAATGTGCTAAAAACAAATGCAATCCAAGCTTTTTCTCAAGAAAATAAAATAACGTGGCATTTCATTCCCGCCAGATCTCCGCACTTTGGAGGGCTATGGGAGAGTGCTATAAAATCAGTAAAAACTCATTTGCACCGTGTCATAAACGATGCCAATCCTTTATCCTATGAGGAATTGTATACTCTTTTAGTACAGATTGAAGGTGTGTTAAACTCTCGACCCTTGCTTCCTATGAGCAACGATCCCAATGATATGGAAGTACTGACTCCTGGCCATTTTCTCATTGGTCATCCGCTCAATATGGTTCCCGCTATAGACTACGAGAATTCGCCGATCAACCGGCTCACCCGATATGAGCTATTGCAGCGTATGTTACAGCATTTTTGGTCCCGGTGGAAAAATGAATACTTGCATACTCTGCAGCAACGAGCCAAGTGGAGATATAGCAAAGACACTGCCAGCTTACAAGGACGGATGGTGCTCCTGAAGGATGATGGTCTTCCGCCCTACCAATGGTCCCGTGGACGAGTAAGTGCTCTCCATCCTGGCAAAGACGGACTTGTGCGCGTTGTGAGTGTCTCTACCCCAAATGGAATTGTTAAACGTAGCGTTACTAAATTGTGTCCGTTACCTGATGAACAATAAATAGTCTTTCCTCGTTTACTGTAAATGAAACAACTAATTGTAAGGTTTTGTTTTTTTTGTATGTAGCATGTTCATCTATATAAATATTGTATATTTCATTGTAATTCTGCAAGCAACAGCCTAAGCGAATCATTTTTAAATAATTAGTCACTCCCTTACTTTATTGAAGTGTATCCCTAGATAACTTCAAGGGCGGCGGTATGTTCGATCCTAATTTTATGTTTAACCTTGAGTGGACCGTTTTTAGTTTAAAAACTCGTTTTTTATTTCACGCGGTAAAAAAGAGTAGGTTTGCACTGAAAACAGGTGAGTTACCATAGCGACATAAAACTAGCAACATCAGTCAGAAAAAAATATATACATTGTCACATTTTTACGAAGTTTTACGTTTCGCTTAGCGTTGTTGGGTGCTGATACAAATAAATGCAGTTTCTCAAATAAATAAACTTCAAATAGTCCTTTTAATGTGAATTTCCTACAGCCGATCCAATCGACAACAAAGATAGGACATCACAAAAAGTGCTCAAACGCCCGTTGGCTTTTTACAGTCCTCCAACAAAAAGGGCGAGAGCAAACAGTAGTACCACTGTTGAAACTAAACCTTTATGTTTTTCATCAATTATCTGTAGATTTCCCATCGTACAAACTTTCGAATGAGCAAACTGTAAGTTTAAAGCCCACTGTAGTACATAATGTAAGTCAACAATTCGGTGTCCATTAAGATATGTTTGTTTTACTGGTTCTTTTTTAATTTCCAGGGGATAATTGTTAATGCTAAAATTAAAACATGTTTGTTGGTAATTAAAAAGACACCATGTATTGTACTTTCATATTCTTTACCTTTCATATTCTTCTGAAGAAATAAAGCTGAACTCATGTAAATCGGATGAGGTTGATTGCACTGCTTCTTTGCTAAAAAACAAAAACAGAAATATTGCTGTCTTATATCTTGTCAGTCCATGTAAACTTAATACAATTTTACGTTTCTGTTTACAGAATGGCACATAAATAACTTGAGCATTTTGGTTAAGGTTATTTACACTAAATTGATCTTAAATGAGTTCCTGAATTTGCATTCTTTTTATGCAGAGTATTTATAACAAAAGACAAAATTTACATGATACTGCCAATACTTTTTCACATGATGACCATTTTTAAAACAATGTACATAAAATATAAATATAGATACTTACTTCTCTTTGTCACTTGTAGAACCACAACCTACTATTGAAATTCCCTTCAATGCGCGACTACGCTTGGTACATCTTTTATTAAAGGACTTTAATCTGGGCATTTTGTTCACACCTGAAAAATATTCAATAGATAACCTTTGATATACCAAAAGCATAAAACAAAATCGCGTTATTTAACTAATACTTAAATATTAGCAACACGTTGACATAAAACAAAAATGTTGTGGGTGCCCTTGGCTAACATCGTCAAATGAACTTCATACACACGAGTTATAGCAAAAGGTACTTACCTATCTATTTTCTTTAATATTAGGAAACTAAACTAGTATACACTATTTAAAATAAAACAACACTCAAATTTAAACAAAATTTAAACAAAAAAACACTAAAACATTTAGTTTTATAAAACTAAAAAAACAACACTTAAAATCAAAACAGCGACCTGAAAGGTAAATAAATAACAACACAACAAAATTAAAAAAATATATGGAATGATCCAATCCGAAAATAAGAATTTCTGAAATTTCTACTAATAGCAGACTAATAGCTCATATCAATTTACATTGAACAAGACTGATTGCCCAATTGAGAGCGAACAGTACCGATCGTATATAAATATATTATAACTCCCAGTTGGTCAAGCTGGCAACTATGTCGCTGTTCATAAACGTAAATCTCGGGAAAATTAAAATATTAGAATATGATGCACGTGCTGCCATCTAGTCAAAGAATTGTTAAACGTTAGTTTATTTGAATGCCACTCATTTTAACTGCGGCGTGAACATACCCCCTTAACATTAATAGAAATCTTTAAATATTATTTATACGCATATATAATAAAATATGTCTAGTGGCTGTAATGCCAGTGTACTCGGCAAAGTGATTCTAAAAAAGAACACACCTACCGCCTAAATATTTCGTGTTGGTATCATGTGTATCAATGTTTTTTATGTTTAATAATTATTTCCCTAGTTACAACTAGTGGTTGTAGTAGGTATAATTAGGCACCTCAAAGTGGCGCCCTATATTAAATTACTAGAGGTGTTTCCTGTTTATTTTTACTTTGTTTATCCCGAGAGATTCATGACTTTTTATTTCATTTTTTGTAATTGCCCCAATCCACCCCCTTATCTTTTACTTATCTACGACCCCAGCTCTCCTAACAAACCCTGAGTGCCGTTCGCAAAAGTAGCGATTATTTTGCTTGCCTTATCTCCACCCCTTGTATTAATACTCCATGTGGTAGGCAAAATATCTAACGTTACAATATTACATACGTAATAATTGTGCAGATTGACTCCCATATAAATTTTTAACGGCGAACGCGTGTATAGGACTATATCCACACCAGTTTTTTTTTTAAGTTTAGTATGAGTTACCTATTGAAGAAAAGAATTTTTGTGTTGTGCTAGTCAAAAAACTAAACATGGTGAAGTATTGTAGGGACAAAAAGGATGATGATCGTAAGTTATCAGGAAGCAAACAATAATAGTATTTAACATTTGTTTCTGAAAATATGTGTAATAAATATTATGTAATTAGTTTATAACTCTTTTATCTTAAACAACAAATAAATATACATATGTCTAGAGAAAATTGTGCATCTTTTATATATCTTTATTTTCCAGTAAATTTTAATTAGTAACGAAATAGCCCGCAAGAGGCGCTAAAGGGTATGTATGTAAGGGGTGTCCCCTAAGAATTTGCTGCCAAAAGATGATTAGTATTGACCCCAGCCGCAAGGGGTCCTAATGAACGAAATTTATACATTGAGTTGCCTATCTATTTCTACTATTATACTATTTATCTATGCATTAAATTATATAATTAAATATTATTTGATAATAGATTTAATTATTATATAAACTAAATAAGATGTCTAAATATAATAATTGTATTTATATGAAATTATTTTAAAACGAAAAGTGTCATACATTTTGACAATTGTTACAAACCAAATCTTTTATCGACAGATATTCTTTAAATTTTTTTATTTCTTATTTAATACCTGCATTTTGTTAGTTATTTTTCATGTAGTTTTTAATTTAAATTTGCTTAGAATAAATATATGATTAAAAATGAAATGATCGAGAGTAGTGAATCAATGTGAAAAAACGCTATTTTGTGATGCTCATATCAGCATTTAACCATAGAGAAAAAAGTAATAAAATGCCAGTATAGAAGCTTCGCTTTGCAAATATATGACTGTCTAGATTCTCATATTTAACACACACTGATTATTATTGTCTGAATAAAATAAAAACAGCCCATATTATTATTTTATTTTTAACTAATGTGTATTATAAAAGTAAATCTTGCAAATATTCTTCCATTTCTTCTTCTCTTGATTTTTGTTCTACAGGCTTGTGATTTTCCCAAGGGGACTCATCAGCAGCTGTAGAATCTACTACTGTTTCAATATCAGTACCTTCTATTGGCTCGATAATTTCTACAGTACCACTGGAAGTACTTGCATCCTGCAATTTGTTTATTTTAGGTAAATACTTTTTCCTGTTTAACCTTTTTACTTCCTTCTTTTTGCTATGATAGTTTAATTTTTTGGAACAATCAACACACAGTCCTAAAAGGTAATGTTTTTTATACTGTCTAAATATATGTCTTATATTTTGAAATTACTTACTTATTTTTACTAAAGCATTCTTCTTTTCCCCATGTTCCATATATCCAAAATTTACTTCCCAAGTTCTCAAATCCGCTTCCTCAATGCATTTCTTGTTTCCACATATGAACTGGCCTTTGCCTGAAATGACTTCTTTTTCTATCCTCCATCTCAAGGCAATCTTGCAAACTCTCATTAGTTAGTAAACATATATTACACTACATATTCAATATTTTACCTTATTTTCTTTGTATCTACTGAGGTCCCCAATACAGTACTCCTTAAATAGTTTGTTGTAATATCGTTTGGCAAACTGCTGTTCCCAAGTGTCTGTGGGGTCGTCTTCTTCCCATAAAAATTTGTGATTTTCAGCTATAACATGGTAATCGTTTTTATCTTTTGAGCTATCCCTTTTTAAAAGTGATGTATCTCCAGGTCTCTTTAGTATGTAGTCATTTATTAACATCTTGTGGATATCATAAGGAGTCAAATATCTCATTTGAGATAAAATTTTAGCCATTTTCAGGTAATTATTCTAAAATGTATATATTACATACCAATAAATTGAAAATATAACTCATGCAGCTCCTACTTACCTCTCACATATCTTCCTCAATAAAAAAATTAATTTAACTTAAATAATCTCCCGCATAAATTGTAATCCGTTGTTTTAATATTTTACAGCTTTTCAAATAACTTCCCTTTCATTTTGTTGCAAGAAAATCAAAATATTTATTTTTTTGGCTAGTTACAGACAGAGAAAAATTTACTATGGTTGTCATGTCCATATGTCTGTCAGTAGTGTCAACTGTCAGTGTGTGTTTGTCATTATATTCAAAAAATTAAATATTTCAAAATATTAAATTATTTTAAAAAATATAGGCGTAAAGTGCACAGTGTAAATCACAGATAAGAGGGTTAGGTGTAAATGTAAATTTCGACACCAGAACATATGCACAAGATAAACTAACACACAATAGAAAATGGTTTTGAAAAATAAAATTTCAAGTAAAAAGAATGTTACATTCTTATTAAAATTTTTGGTTCACTTTAAAAATCATTCATATACAGCTATACATACTAATATTGTTGTAAATTCTTTTAATATATTTGTAAATATATATAAATGTTGACTAGACTATAAATTCCTATAAAGTTACATAAATAAACATTAATAAAAGAAGAGATGTCACTTCAACGTCAAACATCATTGAATACAACACGAGTTCTTTTTAAGGTTATGTCTTTTGAAGTTAGGTTGACGTTTTCGCTATATTTTAATTTAAACTGTAATTCCAACATTAATTAGCTTTAATAAGTATTAAAACAATGGAGTACATTCAGGAACCACTCTCAAATGAACCATTAAAAACAACAATGTAAGTAAATTTCATTAACATTAATTAAGTATGCCATTTTTATAACATTTTATTTTCAGATTATGTTGTGAGTGTGGTATAGCTATAGAACCCAACCCGGCTAATATGTGCGTAGGGTGTCTTCGATCTCAAGTGGATATAACAGAAGGAATTCCTAAACAAGCGACTTTGCATTTCTGCAGAGGATGTGAAAGGTATTTTCAACCTCCTGGGGAATGGGTCAAATGTACATTAGAGTCTAGAGAACTCTTAACATTGTGTCTTAAAAAACTTAAGGGATTAAATAGAGTTAAACTTATAGATGCTTCTTTTGTTTGGACTGAACCACACTCAAAAAGAATTAAGGTTTGTTATATACACATTTTATATTGTAGAAAAACTTTTTAATCTCATAGGCATTGTTATTAAGCAAACTACACATATTTTTTAGATCAAGCTTACAGTTCATGGAGAAGTTGCAGGTGGTGCAATATTGCAACAAGTATTTGTAGTTGAATATACAGTGGCACATCAAATGTGTGATGAATGCCATAGATCAGAAGCTCAAGACTTTTGGAGAGCCTCAGTTCAAGTTAGACAAAAATCAGAAAACAAGAAAACATTTTACTACCTAGAACAGCTTATATTAAAACACAAAGCCCATGAAAATACATTAGGAATTAAGCCTATTCATGGTATGTTCTGTGAATTATATATATTTAATTTTTTTATTTGAAGTTCTACAATTACCATATTTAAAAACAGAAAATATTGTGAGACACAGATAGACAATGTTTATATTAAGATGAAAATGATCATGTTCTTTGCTTTTCTAGGTGGCTTGGATTTTTTCTATACAACAGAAGGCCATGCTAGAAAGATGGTTGATTTCTTGTCAGCTGTTCTCCCATGTAAATACCAACATTCAAAGAAATTAATTTCTCATGATATTCACAGCAACATTTACAATTACAAGTTCACCTATTCAGTGGATATTGTTCCTGTATCAAAAGACAGTGTTATTTGTTTACCGAAAAAATTAACACAACAACTAGGAGGAATTTCTCCAATTTGTTTGATCTACAGGGTCACAAATTCAGTTCATCTTATAGACCCTTCTACAGCTCAAAGTAAGTATGTGTTCTGTTAGTGAATATTTTGTAGACATGAGTAAATGTTTATTAATAGAGAGAGTATTGTATCATTCAAAACTAGTAACATTTAGGACAGGCTAAAGTTAACAAAGGAGTGGGACAAGGCAGTCAGTTGATTGTATACTGATAATGACATGAAACAAACTAGAAAACTAAAAAAAAAAAACAAATAAAAAAGCTGATAGGGCTAGGAGTAAAAGTAAAGAAATACTTGATGGATTCGACCGTTACTTGATGGAAATTCATTTTATGTAACAATAAAACACTGAAAACTTTGTTTTCAAACTTCCACAAAATTTATTTTAAATATTATCACTACAGCTGTTTCGGCTGATTGCCTTTCTCAAGTGATCTGTTTTGGCTTGGGTTTGCAAATTTATAGTCTCTAATGAAATAGGTTGAGGAGGGGAGAACTGTTTGTCTCAAGTTGGTCATTCAGAATTATATCTGTGTTTTTTAATTTGTTGATTTCCATAGATTCTAACAAAGATAGCTTAAGGCCTTTATTTTGAATGTGAAGAATTTTAAATTTGTCATTAAAAGAATGATTATGATCTAGAAGGTGAAGTGCGTATGTCGAATCTGTTTTTCTATTCTTGAAAGCCCTTTTATGTTCTGCTATTCGTTTATCAAAGTTTCTACCAGTTTGACCGATGTAAGTTTTTGGGCAGTCGCCACATTGAAGTTTGTACACACCACTATTTAAGTGTTTCTATAAATTTGCAAACCCAAGCCAAAACAGATCACTTGAGAAAGGCAATCAGCCGAAACAGCTGTAGTGATAATATTTAAAATAAATTTTGTGGAAGTTTGAAAACAAAGTTTTCAGTGTTTTATTGTTACGTAAAGAAATACCTTTAAATAGGAGAGAGAAAGACTGATTCCATAAGATCAGATTAAGTATATATAATTGCATAGAAATTAATTCATGTACATGTCTATTAATGATCACTAAAGATCAAAGTCTTCTTCTCATTCTTCTTTTTTACGTAGACATGCCTCTATCTGTTTTTCAATGTGCCTCCAGTAATTTGTCATTCCATCATTTACATGGTGTTCCTACTGATCGCCTTCCTATTATGGAAGTGTTTCTTGTCATCTTTACTACTCTATTTGTTGTCATTTGGTTTAAATGATCATTTTAATCTACTCTTCTATTTCTTACCCAGTTCTTGATGTTTTCCACCTTGCATCTAAGTTGTATATCTGTACTTCTGTACTTCTAGCTCTATCCCATAGTGTTTCTACATCCCACAATTACCCCAGGCAATGTTGGACAGTACTCTGTACAACACTGCCCGGAGATAATTGCAGGGTAGATTGAGTAACTCTGTTGTTATGACAGCTGGTCCCAAGGCCAGATAATATGTGGAGGGTGATTGGCAAGGTTAGCAACCTACCAATCATCAAAACAATTATTAGAAAGAAACAATGTATAGCCTCGGAAGATCAAAGTTGAAAATCCAAAAAGCAAGAAGTTATATTTTGTTGAAGATATACTAGTTATATCTGGGATTCAAGCAGTGCAAGAAAATGACTGCTTGTAAGTTTCAACAAGTCCTATTGTGAGACAAGAAAAGTTACTGAACCTGAACCAGCTGTGGAAGATCAAAGTGGGAATTGAAAACAGAATGGGGAGAATATGTGGGTCAAGACTTTTGATTAGAACAATAAAGAAACTGAAGTAAACCATAAAGAAACAATAACTACAACTATGAAGAAACTGTAATTTTAAGCGGGTGTTATAACATATATATTGTATATATTTTTTAAACTTAGCTAAACTTTCAATTAATATTTAAACTTAGTTGCAGAAATAAGTGCTACAGTATTTTACCGTTATCCATTTGGAGCCATTTGTAATCCAAAGCAGTTAGTAGAATATGTTGTAATGGACATAGAACCTATCATGGATAAAGATAGAAAGATATTCCCTGGCCAAGGAGCTATTTCCCATAGACATGTTCTGGCTGATATTTGGGTAGTTAAAGCATCTGAATTGGGTGTAAATGATAATACTATTCATACTAGAACACACTTGGGTCATGTCTTGAAACCTGGTGATTCTGTTTTAGGGTGAGTAATTTTTAATGATTTTTATTAATTTGAATATGAACAAAGGATCATGATTTAGTAAATTTGTCGATTACTAAGTGGAATTTATTGTCAATTATATGTCTTTTAAAGGTCATAATTTGCCTTTGTTTTTAATTTTGTGATTATTTTGCTCATAATATTATTAAATATATCTAAAAAATGTTGATTTTAGGTACAATATAGAAGACAGTAACATAAATGACACGAACTTTGACAAACTTGATAGAAGTTCAGTTCCAGATGTTATTTTAGTTAAGAAACATTATGGAGATAGGTCATTTAGAAGAAGACAGAGGATTTGGAAACTTAAAAGACTTGCTGAAGGTGATACTGCTTTTGATCCTGATGCAAAGTAAGTTAAATAGAAAAATCATTGTTATTAAAATAAATATTTGCTTTTTCTGTTAGTGGTGTAAAGTGAATATCCATTATGCTTTTCACTTTGTTATTTCATCCAGTTTCTCAAGTTTCTTTGATAGTTTTTGTGCTGTAAAAGTCTATTATTAATCCACTCTTACTTTTGATAAGTGTACTACCTGCCTTTAATAAGTCTTTTGGTTCTTTCTATTGCTTGGAAATACTAGTTGTTTAATAATTTATTATACTGTCTTTTATTTAGTTATAGATATTGATTCACATTGCATACATCAAACCCTTAATTTATAAATTTTTTGAGATGCTGTGTGATGTTTAAACAAAGAACATTGTTTAAACATCATTTTCAGTTGAGATTGATAAATTGGTTTTGATATACTTATTGTTTCAATTCATACACCTGAAGATTATGCCCTAATCCTAGTAGCATCAAATAAGTTCCTAGAAAATTTTCAAAAGCAATTCACCAAAATATCTGCAAGTGTGGCAGACAATAAAAGGCACAACTTTCTTATAAGCTCTTTAAAATTGTTCTTGAAATAACATAACTATTTCTTTGAGTTTTGCTCATATTATTCATTTGTCTATCATCTTAAATAGAAACCTCCTTTTGCTTCCAAGCTATTCTAGAATATCTTATTATAGTACATTTGAAAATGATTGATAGCACAAATTTTTAAGCAAAGGTCTAAATACAGGGTTGATCAATGCAGAAAAAAAGTAATATGTATTAATTACATAAAAACACATAATTTTTAGTTAAAATATAGTTAAAAAGTAAAATTTTAGATATTCCTCACTACTATAAAATACATTTTTTTATTAAAATTTCCTTAATTTTACTTTTAAATTGAGTTGTGGAAAGATCCTATAAGTTATCAAGGTATTTATTATAAAATTTAATTGCCTAATACCATGACCCAGTTTGACACCTCTTTAGCATCCAGTAGGCTGGAACAAGATCACACCTGTGTCTAGTGTTCTAGTGTTATGATAGTACACATCTTCATGGGTCCCAAAGCTCTCCCTGCTCCTCTTAACAAACATAAGGTTCTCATAGATATACAAGGAGGGCACAGTAAGAATTTACAGAGTCTCATAGACCAATCTGCAATTGTCCCTAAACCTGAGGCCTGCAAGAACTTGTATAGCCTTATGTTGCAAACCAAAGATGATGATGATTATGTTATATTGGTTTTTATTTCACGTGCAGTACAATTTTTACTATAAATCATTTTCAATTTTGTACCATAATTCATTGGATAATTAATTTTACATAATTTTTGCAGTGATTACCATGAGTTCTTGGATGATCTGGAAGAAGATCCTGAACTGAGACAAAACATCAACATTTTCAAAGATAAGTCAAAGCAGATTCCTGTTGATACATTTGATGATAATGGTGATTCAGCACCTCATATAACCTTGGCAGAAATGTTGGATGATTTAGTTATCGATGATGTTGATATGGAAGAAGTTGAGTAATTTTATTGTTAAAATAAAAAGGGAATAAATATAATTTCTGTTAAAGTTTTGTATTTATTTTTACCTGTGAACTCAATTAGGCCAATATAGTGTTTGAAATTTTATACTTACAATCCTGGGAAGTATCCTCTTATAATTTTTTTTTGAATCTTTGGGTACATTACATTAAATTAGTCTACTATGCTGCTTCTCATAGACCTCTTAAAGGTCTTAAAGATATCACAGGAAATAGGAAAAAAGAAAGCATAAAAGAAGGGAAAGTCAAGAAAGAGATATATAGAAAGAGTCTAATGTTATTGTCACTTCTGTATCGATTTTTCTGCTTTTGCCTTCAGATCTATACTTATGATAGTCAGCTATCATGACTACGTCCTCCTAACAAGTCTTATCCCAGAGATGACGAGACGTCAACTGTGACGTATAGGTACGCATGTATGGTTGATTACGAGAAAACGTTTGATCAAGTACAGCACGCCAAGATGATGCAAATACTAAAAGAAGCAGGAATTAACAACCAAGATCTTCAAATTATTAGAAATCTTTTCTAGAATCAGACAGCAAATCTCAGAGTTGAAGGTGAACACACTGACTATGTGAAAATCATGCGTGGAGTGAGGCAAGGCTGCATTTTGTCTCCTCTAATCTTCAATCTGTACTCTGAAAGAATATTTATCGAAGCTTTGCACGAAACTGAAAAAGACATTTTACTAAATGGTTACCGGCTAAACAACATCAGATATGCAGATGATCACATAGTATTTGCGGACAACTTAGAAGACCTACAAGTTCTTATGAATAAAATCACGTATTACAGTCAACAATATGGACTCAATATAAATGTTAAGAAGACAAAGCTTATGATAATTAGCAATAAAAGGATAACAGAAGGTAAACTCTACAACTACCTCGGCACCATATTAAATGAAGAATGGACCAACGACCAGGAGATTAGAGCACGCATTGGAAAAGCTAGATCCACCTTCAATCGGATGGGGGCCTTCTTCAAGAGTCGATACTGCGATGCTACGTCTTCTCTGTCCTTTTTTATGGTGTTGAATCGTGGACCTTGAACGAAGATATGTGCAGAAAACTGGAAGCATTTGAGATGTGGCTATATCGGAGAATAAGAATAAGAATAAGAATAAGGAGAGTCACAAATGAGGAGGTCCTCAGAAGAATGAATAAGAACCGAGAGGTACTGACCATTATCAAATCTCGAGAGTTACAATTCTTCGGATATATTATTCGAAATAAATCCAGATATGCCCTTCTTCAAGCCATCCAACAAGTAAAAATATTTGGAAAACGAGGTCCAGGAAGAAGAACATCTTGGTTAAAGAACCTCAGAACCTGTTTCAATACAACATCTGTACAGCTCTTTCGCGCTACTGCAGAAAAGATAAAGATTGCCATGATGATCGCCAAAATTTCTTAACTAATAGGCACATCAAGAAGAAGACGTCCTCCTAGCTAGCAATTTTTCTACGAGACGTCCTCCTAGCTAGATACATTTTCTTGCCAGGCTTCATTTTTCTTACGAAATATTACTCTTCACACTTTGGTTTGTGTCTCCGTGTATATTAGTTTTTCAGCGTCGTTCTTTGTATTCAAAAATGTTTGGCATTTATTTCTTTTATTTTCCACTTCTCGTTCTATTTATTTAACCCACCAATTCGGGATTCGTCTCGGGTTCTGAATATGCTGTCCAATGGCTTCTGTTGCTGTCCCCTATAGGCAAATTTTTATGTGGTGAAGAAATTAAAGGTTTATGAAAGAAAAATCATGAATACCTGAATTCTCCAGTGAAATACCTGTCTAATGATGAGTCACACAAGGAAAGAGAGAGGACAGGTAACAAAGTAGATGTAAATTACAATAATTATGCCAATATTACATGTCTGTGGTTTTATTTAAATGAGTAAGTTGAATAAAAGGTATAAAAATTTTAAAAGTTTAAACAGACAAGGTAAGGCCCACAAATTGTTATAAAATAGTCACTTCGATTGTAATAAATTAACAAATGAGCAAATAAATAAATAAAATAAACATTACTTACATGCCGGTACTCTATTAATTGATGGATGGTAGAACATGGTTGAAACTACTATATATTGTTGAATGGAGAATGGAGTTTCAACCATGTTCTACCATCCATCAATTAATAGAGTACCGGCATGTAAGTAATGTTTATTTTATTTATTTATTTGCTCATTTTTTAATTTATTCCAATCGAAGAGACTATTTTATAACAATTTGTGGGCCTTACCTTGTCTGTTTAAACTTTTAAAATTTTTATACCTTTTATTCAACTTACTCATTTAAATAAAACCACAGACATGTAATATTGGCATAATTATTGTAATTTACAACATCTACTTTGTTTATCGTTATTGGACAACACCCTAATATGGGTTTTTATTATTTCAGCATTTGTTTAACTTTGTATCGAGACCTGAGGATGCTTTGCATATTGTAGAAAGCGAAACGGGTCGTCAGATAATTAAATTAAATTGATTGTGAGTAAGTCTTATTTATTATTTCTTTACCTATTTTTAAAATAAATGTAAGGGAAAACAGCAGGTTAATGGTGCAAATAAAACCATCACTCATAATGTTTTTATTCATTACTCAAAATGTTCTACAGTACTTTTTTGGTTCCGTTGTAGATAATAAATACTCTAGATCTAAAATAGTCCGACTTCTGTTACAATAATATGAAAGCTAGGTAATATGTTCATTAATTATTAAAATACATCAATTTGGTTGATTTTCTTATATGTTTTGGTTGAACATGTTTGGATGGAAGATGTATATCGTGGATAGAGCTTTACGTAGATAAAAATACAAAGAAAATTTTACACAAATTATCATTTGTAATAAAGATATACAATATTGAGCTTCCGTCGTACTTGCATTTTTTCTGAATTTGGAACAAAATCAATTTATTTTATCTACTTATTAAAATGTTGTGTATCAATTAAATTTTTTTTTATTATCATTTTGGCACCATTGTCATGTCAGAGAGTCAAGTTGCAAATATAATATGCTTAGTTTTGTGTTAAGTGCTTCAAAAGAATAATAAAATATCCCATTAACAAAAAATATAATCCTTCTAATTTTAAGATTTATTTCCAATACTAACAAACCCTGCCTCGTAGTGTTTTATTGATATTGCTGACTTAAAGTAACAATTAGAAACAAGAAGTTTTGGAAAAAAGAACCAGCCAACATGGATCTGGCAAGGACTGAAATAGGCAAAAAGAAACTGAAGTATGCCCTAACAATAAGTCTTTAAAGACCATGTTCTATACATACAAATTAAAAACATGAGAATTTAAATAATAATAAATAAAGAACAGCCTTGTATGTAGGTATTCAGTAAGTAGTGCCAAAAGAAAGTTACTTAGGAGAAATAAAAACATACATCGGAATACTACCAAATCAATTAAATCAACGGTTATACTAAACATAGAAAAATTAAAATACTACGAATCAAAGGAAAAATCTTAGACTAAAAAACCACATTATCTCCATCAATAAAAACAAATTTAGTAGGCTATTACATAAACAGCTCTGCGTAAATCCTAACCGAGCTAGTAGCAGCAACAGAACGAATGGGGTTACATATAAATCAAAATAAAACCAAATTCATGGCGACTAACACAAAAACAAGAGCTGGAAATGTTGACGCAGATTTATTCATCAATGAACAAAACTTCGAAACAGTAAAAGAGTTCATATATCTAGGGACATCAGTTAACCCCAATAATAACACATCTGAGAAAATAAAAATGCGAATAATAATTGCAAACAAGTGTTATCATGGTCTGTCAAAGTACTTAGGTAACAAACGTCTGTCTCAAAATACTCGTATAAGGCTGTATAGAACACTGATAGTCCCCGTTCTCACATATGAATCAGAGGCATACATGCTAACTAAAACAGATGAATCCGCTCTATCGATTTTTGAAAGAAAGGTGGTAAGCAAGATATTCGGAGCGGTCTGTGAGAACGGAATATGGAGGCGTAGATATAATTTTGAACTGCAGAATATCTACAAGCATACGTTTAGTGGTAAAGATATTACCACTGTAATTAAGTGAAATCGCCTGCAGTGGGCAGGACATGTAGCCCGGGCCCCTGAATCGAATATGATAAAAAAGATTCTAACAGTGCAACCCGTGGGAATAAGAAGACGGGGTAGACCAAAGCTGAGGTGGATGGACGGGGTAACACAAGATGCCGAGAAGATCGGAGTCGGCAACTGGAAAATGCAAGCAAGGGACAGAACAGAATGGCGTAGAAAGCTTGAGAAGGTCGAGGCCCTCTAGGGGTTGTGGCACCAAGATAATTACATAAACAACATACGCTTTCTTGGAAGCTGTAGCTGTTTTCATATCAGTTGAAAATTATTTTTATCTGTAAATCCGGTTTCACAATTTCTGATGTATTTTCTAATATTTTTCTCTACAGTTTTTTATATCATACTTTATTTCCATATTTCTTACTTCTCTCTTTATCGTGAGATCTCTTTCACCTATTATCTTCATAATATCTTCAGTATCTGTTGATTTTTTACCTCATGAAATTACTTTCTTACCGATTTTAAAATTTTAAAAGGTATTCTCTTTCTTCTGTATACGTCCTTAGTGCCCATGTCCTTATATATCTCTTTTTCATAGTTTATGATTTACAAATGGTCGTCGGATACGTTTTCGTTGGACATCATTGTTCCTATTATATTTTTTAGTATCGTGGGGTGTCGAGACCACTATCATACAGATAGATAATTTTAAAATATTATTTAATGACACTAAATATGCCCAAGTTTGTACTTAATATAATTTTTCATAACTATATAGGTACATCAGATGATAAAGTTTCCTTTGCTATGGCGTAATAAGTAGCCTCAGGCACCACAAGAAAGTATGAAATTACCCTTAACAATTTACTCCACGCAGTAAAAATTCAGTCTGCCTTACAATGTTAATATCACCTTAGTAAGACTATAATTTTGACCCATATTAGAATGTACAATTAAAAA